GCCTATTAGAAGATGAACATAAACAGGATATGATGGATGATGACGACACTTTCTCTCAGACTTCAGATTTTTCCGAAATGGGTTCTCAAATGGAAGACAGTAATTTTTATTCTCTACAAGAGATAAATGAATTTTTGGATGATACTTTCGGAAGAACAGTTGAAGTTGAAGATTTTTTCCCAGATACTGATAAATTTGTGAAAACGGTTCTTAGACTACGGCGTACTGTTGGATTGGATGAATTAAGTGATAAAAAGAGATTTAGACTGGGGAAATATTTGACAAGAATAAGGAAGCGTAAAAGCTCGTTTTCAAGAAAATAGGTAAATGAGTCTGAAACACTGGGTGTTCTTTCTTTCCTATTTTTTTCTGATCCTTGTCTCTTTCTCTTCTATTATTATGGGGCTTATGAAAATAGGTTCTTTTAATATAAATGGAGCGAGAGATCAGACTAAAAGGGCTATATTATCAGAATTTTTAAAAATAAATAAAATTGATATTATTATGTTACAAGAAATCCATTCTGATAAGGCAAATGAGATAGATTGGGGTTTGTGGTGGGAAGGGAAGTACGTACTCAGTCATGGTTCAAATTTAAGTGCTGGTGTTGGGGTTCTTTTTTCAAAATTTTTGAATGTTGACATTTTTAAAACTGAAGAAGTGGTAGCTGGAAGGGTATTATTTGTTCACGCACAAGTTGAAGGAATGGAATTTTTATTCATTAATGTTTATTCACCAAATGTTGGTTCTGAAAGAATTGAATTATTCTTAAATATAAAGAGTCAAATTTCAAAATATGATAATAATGTTTGTATAATTATGGCTGGCGATTGGAACTGTACTGAAGATTTTAAAGTTGATAGAAACGGTGAAGAACCTCATTTTCAGTCAGGTTATGTACTTTCTAAAGTGATAAAAGAGCACAATTTAATTGACGTTTGGAGAATCAGAAATAAAGGTATAAAGCAATATACATGGGTTAAAGTAAATAATACTCAAATTAAGGGGGCCAGATTAGATAGATTTTATATATGTAAGTCTTTTAATAGTAGAGTGGTAAATGCTGCTATTGTCCCTAGTGGTTTCTCAGACCACCATATGGTAACTATAGATATAAATAAGAAAATAACAGCTAGAACACAATATTATTGGCATTTTAATAAAAAATTATTATATAATAAGTTATTCTGTGAGAGTTTTGAACATCTTTGGGAAAAATGGAGATTAGAGAAAAATAATTATGAAACTAAATGCCAGTGGTGGGAAGTTGGAAAGGCGCATATAAAAGTATTTTGTCAGAGTTATGAATCTCAAATTTCTTTTAAAGTTAGAGATGCGGTAAAAAAATTGCAATGTGAAATTGGTGAAATAGAAAAAATGATGTTAGACAATGAAGAAGGAACTGATAAAAGTGAAAAAATCCATAAGAAGAAGCTAGAGTTGAAACAAATTTTACAAGAACAAGTCAAAAATGCTTTAATAAGATCACACTTTTGCACGGTTAAGGATATGGATGCGCCTAGTTCCTATTTTTTTAAACTAGAAAGAAAGGTAGTTCAACATAATCCTATGCTTCATTTAAGTTATCCAAATGGAAAAATTACGGACAATCCAAATGAAATGAAAAAAATTGCAGTTGATTTTTATTCTGAACTATTTAGTGCTGAGCAGTGTGATGAAGAATGTATGATGGATCTTTTTAAAGATCTTCCTAAGTTGCAAACTAAACAAAGAGAGAACTTGGATAGTGATATCAGTTTGCAAGAGCTTACAGATGCGTTACAGCAACTTTCATTAGGACGTTCGCCCGGAATTGATGGAATAACTACAGAATTTTATCATCACTTTTGGAACATTTTGGGACAAGATTTTTATGAAGTGGCAAAAGAGTGTTTTGAAAATGGACTTCTTCCAAGTAGCTGCCGAAGAGCAGTTTTGTCTCTTTTACCAAAAAAAGGAGATTTGGCTTTCTTAAAGAACTGGAGACCTGTTTCACTGTTGTGCACTGATTATAAAATTTTGGCAAAGTGTTTAGCAAATAGGTTAAAATGTTATTTGGAGACAATTATTCATGGTGATCAGACATATTGTGTACCTGAAAGATCTATTATGGACAATCTTTTTCTTTTGAGAGATGTGATTGATTTGAGTATTAAAAAAAATATTAATATGGGGATTTTAGCATTAGATCAAGAAAAAGCTTTTGATCGGGTTGACCATAGTTACCTTTTTAGTGTTTTAAGTTGTTTTGGTTTTGGTGAAAAGTTCATTTCTTGGATAAAACTGTTATATCATGATGTTTCTACGTTAGTGAAAGTGGGAGGAGGGTTGAGTGCCTCAATTCCTGTGAGAAGGGGAATCAGGCAAGGATGTCCACTCTCTGGACAGTTATACAGTATTGTTATTGAACCACTTTTAAGAAGAATAAGGAAAAATCTTAATGGTTTTTCAATACCTAATTATATAAATTGTGATAAGATAGTGTTATCTGCTTATGCTGATGATATAACAGTTTTTATACATGGAGAAGATGATGTTAATAATCTTAAAAAAAATATAGAGTTGTATGAAAAGGCTTCTACTGCAAAAGTAAATTGGAATAAAAGTGAAGCATATGCAGTAGGTCGATGGATGAATAAAAGACTTCCAGATCTACCAGGAGGATTAAAATGGGGAAAGGAAGGTCTTAAAATTTTAGGTGTGTTTTTAGGTTCTTCAAATTTCATGGAAAAAAATTGGGAGGGACTGCTGGAGAAAGTGGTGGCCCGATTGTCTAGATGGAAATGGCTATTACCACAAATGTCTTATAAAGGGAGGGTTTTGGTAATAAATAATCTGGTAGCATCTACACTATGGCATAGGATGATGGTGCTTGAACCACCACAGGAGTTGGTGGTGTCTATACAAAAGAAACTAGTAGATTTTTTCTGGACTGGTCAACATTGGATTCGTGCTGCACAACTGTATTTGCCAAATTGTGAAGGAGGGCAAGGATTAATAGACATCAAAAGTAAAATTCAAGCTTTCAGACTGATTTCAGCCCAAAAACTTTTGTGTAAAAGCAAGTTGTCATGGACTCATACTGCCTGTGCAATCTTGAGAACAGTAAAGGGGCTGAATTATGATCTACATCTTTTTTGGATACAAACTGATGAGATGGATTTAACAGGGATTACATCGTTTTATAAATCAGTGCTACAAGCATGGAATAAAACCTTCAAGATTCAAAGAATATTTGACATCCCTAAATATTGGGTGTTGGAGGAACCCCTTTTTCATAATCCAGTGGTTCATGGTACATTGATATCTTCGAGGAGTGTACAGAACAATATGATTAAAAGGAACTGTACAAAGTTAAAACATCTGGTCACGGAGGATGGATGGAAGTCGATAGAGGACATAATGGTTTTTACAGGACTGAGATCCCATCGTTTAGCTGCACGATTCTTGGAAGAAATACACTCCTTTTTGCCTGGACAGTATAGAGCGATTTTACAAGAAGAAGACTCGAGTGAAGAAGTTAAAATTCTCCCTCTGGTGGTATCTTCAAGTTGTGAATTTGGTGGGTTCGAGGAAGAGACTGGAATTTCTAAAACATGGACGGTTGACGGAATGTCTAAAGAGGTTTTATACATCTTATGCGTTAAGAATGTTCACAATGATATACTAAAAGGACAATTATTGAAATGGACTAAAAAGTTTGGACCTAATTTCCCCTTAAGAGATCAGTGGAGGTCCCTATATAAATCTCCTCTTGAGAAAAGAATCGGGGACTTGCAGTGGAGACTTGTTCATGGGGCGATAGCTACCAACAGTCATGTGTCTCATCTTAATCCAATAGTTAGGAGGGAGTGTGCTTTTTGTGGTAAGGAAGAGAATGTAGAACATTTGTTTTTAAGTTGTACACGATTGGAAGACCTTTTTAATGTTTTAAAAGAGTGGTTTAGAGGTTTTGGTGAAACCTTTTCTGAATGTATTTTTATAGGGGGAGTAAAATATAGAATGTCTAAAAAGATCCTTTTCACTCTTTTAAATTATGTTATTGGCACAGCAAAATTGTCTATTTGGAAAACTAGAAAAAACAAAATATCAGGTGCTGGTGGAATAGATCCAGTGATTATGTTAAAAGGTTTAATTTCAAATAGATTGAAAATTGAATTTACTTTCTATGAATTGGTAAGAGATCTAATAACATTTGAAGAAAAGTGGTGTCTAGGAAGCATTTTATGTAGTGTTTATGAAGAACAGCTTGTACTTAATTTATAAAAACAATAATAAGGTAGTTGGGTTTCATTTTTTTCTTTAATTTTGGTTTTTTAATCGACTCAAAGATGAATGGAATATGATGTGAATGAACATTTAATGGATTGAGAATGTTTTGTTAAAAAGAAAAAGAAAAACTGTATATAATAAAGCTGTTTTAAACCTCTCTCTCTCTCTGTCTCTCTGTCTCTCTCTCTCTCTCTCTGTCTCTCCTCTCTCTCTCTCTCTCTCTCTCTCTGTCTCTCTCTCTCTCTCTCTCTCTCTCTCTCTCTCTCTCTCTCTCTCTCTCTCTCTCTGTCTCTCTCTCTCTCTCTCTCTCTCTGTCTCTCTCTCTCTCTCTCTCTGTCTCTCTCTCTCTCTCTCTCTGTCTCTCTCTCTCTCTCTCTCTCTCTCTCTCTCTCTCTCTCTCTCTCTCTCTCTCTGTCTCTCTGTCTCTCTCTCTCTCTCTCTGTCTCTCTCTCTCTCTCTCTCTGTCTCTCTCTCTCTCTCTCTCTGTCTCTCTCTCTCTCTCTCTCTCTCTCTCTCTCTCTCTCTCTCTCTCTCTCTCTCTCTCTGTCTCTCTCTCTCTCTCTCTCTCTCTGTCTCTCTCTCTCTCTCTCTCTCTCTCTCTCTCTCTCTCTCTCTCTCTCTCTCTCTCTCTCTGTCTCTCTCTCTCTCTCTCTCTCTCTCTCTCTCTCTCTCTCTCTCTCTCTCTCTCTCTCTCTCCCTGCAATCGTTGAAAATTTAGGATTAATCTAGAAGTTAAAAATGTATTCATCCGCGTTCACGTGTGTTCTGAACCGTGGGTTGTGATCCGTATGAATCGCTGATCAACCGTGATCCGTTACAGCCCTACAGTTCACTCCGCAATGAACATCTGCTGATTTACAGCATCTAATATAGTTTAGGCTATTTAGTGTATATTAATGTGTGTGTGTGTGTGTGTGTGTGCGTGTGTGTGTGTGTGTGTGCGTGCGTGTGTGTGTGTGTGCGTGCGTGTGTGTGTGTGTGTGTCCTCAGAGAAGCCGGCTCCGCGTGATGAAGACGAGGATAAGAGTCAGTTTAAGTTGTTCCAGACGGTGGCGCTGTCTGTGGCGGTGGCTGTGGCCTACATGATGGCGATGCTGGGGCTCATGTTCTACTGCAAACAGAGACGCAGGAGCAGACACACGCAGAAAACACACACCGCAGCGGAGGCTGAGACCGAGTGTCTGAACGGTAGAGCTCACACACACACACACACACACACACACACACACACACACACACACTTAAGGCTGAATTATACTGCTTCGAGTGATCCTGTGTGTGTGTGTGTGTGTGTGTGTGTGTGTGTGTGTGTGTGTGTGTGCAGTTCCTCTGAATGGCCACAGGGTGGCGGGGCTCCAGGAGGAAGTGGCTTTGACGGATCTCAGAGCTTCAGCAGACCCTGAGAAAGAGCAGAGCTGCAGTGACACACACCAGTTTCCCAGAGCGCACCTGCAGCACATCACCACACTGGGTAACACACACACACACACACATAGACTACACTCCTGCACGGAACTGCTTTATCTGTGTGTTTCTCTGACAATACCCAAACACCTGAGAGTGCTCATCAGCCAATCAGAATCCAGCTCACCTGTGTTTCAGTATAGTGTATTGTGAAGTATCTTTTTGGCAGTGTCATGTGACGTTACTGTGTGTGTGTGTGTGTGCAGGTCGTGGTGTGTTCGGCGAGGTGTTTCTGGCTAAAGCGCGCGCTCTGCTGGCCTCAGAGGAGCAGACGCTGGTGCTGGTCAAGAGTCTGCAGAGCTCAGAGGTGTGTGCGCAGAGAGAGTTCAGCAGAGAGATGCAGATGTTCAGCAAACTGCAGCACACACACATCACACGGCTGCTGGGAGTCTGCACGGAAACACAGCCGCTCTACATGATGCTGGAATATGAGGATCTGGTACACACACACACACACACACACACACACACACACACACACACAGCTTCGACTCTTCATATTTGTTGGTGAATTCTACTTTATAACTGCAGACTGTTGGATACAGCGTGCTCAGTGTGGTCAATCATATAGCTTTAATTAGTTACATGCATATATAGTTATATGTGGGGCTCGACATTAACACTCTACAAGTGTGGGTAGATTTCAGCTGTGGCCAGTTGGACAGCGTGTAGTTTTCTTGAAAAGCAGAGTTTAACTATAGGGATGGCGTGTGAGAATGACTAAAACAACAAGTCTATACCAACTGAGCAGAGGATCACGTGTGTGGTGAGACGCAGCTGATCCTCCCTCACTGATGGGGCTTCAGTGTCACGCACAGCTGATGTGATGCACACGAGTCTTTAACGTTAAAAAAGAAACAGTTGCTTGTGCCTGCAAGCGTGATTAGTGTGATCGGTGCTCTTAGAAATAGACTTGGACAAAAAGTGATGCTCGTGTACCCTCAGTCCCGCTGCTCTCAAGAGCTCCAGATTTAGTTTCAGATGGATTTTTGAAGCTAAGTGTGAATTAAGAAGTGAAATAGAGGAGCAGCGGAGGCGTGTGGACACAACACAACATCTAAATCAAGTCATGTCAGCATGCCTCAGTCAGATCTCTGCATATAAAATAGACTTCCTCAAGAGAAGTGTGGCTAGTGAAGACGGCGAGTGGCTAGTGATGTTGGAGATCTACTAGCCACAGCTGCTCATGTGTGTGTCTGAGGTGATTATCCAGCAGTGCAGACGATGACGGAGCTCTTCTGCTGTTACAGGGAGATCTCAAACAGTTCCTGCAGATCCAGAGCAGCAGCAGCAGCAGCAGCAGCACACACCCCATCAGCACCAGAACTAAAGTCAGTGTGTGTGTGAGAGTGTATGTGTATGAGTGTGTGCGCATTTGATGAAGTTGTATTATGTGTGTGGGTATGTGTGTGTGTGTGTGTGTGTGTGTGTGTATGTGTGTTCATAGCTGTGTCTCTGCATGTGTGTGTGTGTTTATGACCATGTATTTGTGTGTGTGTGTCCTGCAGATCTCCATCTGTGCACAGGTGGCTGATGGGATGCAGTATCTGTCACAGCAGGGTTTTGTGCATGGAGATGTGGCTGCGCGGAACTGCCTGATCAGCGGACAGCGGCACGTCAAAGTGTCTGCGCTCAGCCTCAGTCAAGACGTCTATAAGAGGTGTGTGTGTGTGTGTGTGTGTGTGGACTGCTGCTGTGGTGTGTGTGTGTGGAGCGCCCTCTAGTGTCGATGTGTTAGACTCACCGATGTGCTGCTGGTGTGTGTGTGTGTGTGTGCAGTGAGTACTATCAGCACGGGCAGCTGTGGATCCCGCTGCGCTGGCTGCCGCTGGAGTGTGTGCTGCACAGGGAGTTCTCCAGTAAGTCAGACGTGTGGGCCTTCGCTGTGCTGATGTGGGAGGTGTTCAGTCTGGCGGATCTGCCCTACACACACCTCAGTGACGAGCAGGTGCTGGAAGGTCAGTGTGTGTGTGTGTGTGTGTGTGTGTGTGTGTGTGTGTCCAGATGTTCCCTCAAGTACAGCAATACCTGTAGGTTTGGACTTTATGGGGATTTTAATGTATTCTTGTATTTTATTGCATGTTTGATTTCTCTGTTGTTGAAGCGCTTTGGGTTTTAGAAAAGCGCATTATAAATAAAATGTACTATTAAAATGTATTATTATTAGGGCTTTTGTTGACACATGTGCAAGATCAGATTTGGATGGGTACCAGCAGGCTAATACCCGATCCAGCAGAACTATGCAGTATTGAACCGATCCAGGTATTGGGAACGGTTCATCGCTAATATTTATAAATAATTAAGTGCTAACTGTTCATGTTAGTGAAGATAAATTCTGTACAATGCAAATAAAAAGAGTGTCAGCAAGCAAACTCCTCAGAGCACTAGTGGGTTGTGGGGACCCCCTTGTGGCGGCGGGGCTCAAAGCATCTGCTGAGTTTGCTTTTATTAAGCGCCTCCTCTGTTGCCACAGTAACACCAGTTAAATGATGCCTTGCAACTGGTTTGCTGTCAATTAACCGTCACCTTAGAGTTATAAGCCTCTGCCTGACATTTTGTCAACATTGAGTTATTGACATATTCTTATTAAATGACAACTTATTTACATTATGGGATGTTTTTTATCAGTTGTTCACATTTTAAGGCTTTTTATTTTAAAAACAATTATTACACGCACACTGTTTGCTTAATATGTCAAGATCATCCAGAAGGCAGAGAGAACCGTGTAACTGCACGGTGAGGAGATGTCAGTGTAATGTGCTTATTTTATTGTGTTTTAGTGTGTGTTAGAGCTGCAGCAGCTGATGCTCTTCAGACACATGTGTTGTTGTGCTGGTTGAAAGTCTCTTCATGTTTCAGTAGTGCTGATGACAGTAAATGATCTGAATGTGTTTATTCTTAGATTCTGGGTGAGGCAGAAAACTGAAACATGTTCATCAATTAAAATTCATCAAGCCGATAATTCCACACTTCTGATAAGTAGCCCAAACTGTCTGTCAGCAAATGCGGATGTGTTCATCTGCAGCCGTTCACACAGATCCGCCATTTGCACATGAGAGAGAGAGAGAGACAGCGGTAAAACCACATGCTGAATCAACACTTGTAAACAAGGAAATGCCAATGCGTAAGCCGTCGAATGGACAAAGCAGACCAACCTACCCTAGTGTACAGCACACAATGATGAGGAGAGATCTAAATCTTATGCATCATGGTCAACAGTATGAAATGCATGCAGACTCATATGCAGACTCATGCATAAAGCATATTACAAAGTAGTCCAACATCGACATGAATGTTGCATCAACCAGCTTCAGTTTAGCATCCAAAGAAAGGCAGATCTTCATTCTGAAAACACAGCCTCAAATCACTTTTAATGTATTCACCAATTGCTGAATGTGGAAACTGAACGAAAGTGTCTCATCAATTAAAATGCCAAGATATTTGTACTGGGACACCAATTCAGTCTATAACCTGAGCGGTAGTAACAGCACCCGGCTTCTGCTCAGCTTGTTTAGAGTTTAGAAATAGCATCAGTTTAGTTTTATTAGCATTTAAAACTAGTTTTAACTCTGATCAATTAGGCTGAAGAGCATTTAAAGTGATCTGCAGTTGAGAGAGGGCCAGACTGGGTGTAGATGCAGCCGTGTATATGACTATCATCAGCGTAATATTGAAATATAATGTAGCTGAAGTCTACAAGTACTGTCTTTAAATATTTCCCAGATGATGTTGAACAGATTGAGGAAATGTTCACAGTATGTCTGATAATATTTGTTCTTCTGGAGAAAGTCTTATTTGTTTTATTTGGGCTAGAATAAAAGCAGTTTTTAAAACTCATTTTAAGGTCAATATTATTAGCCCCTTTGATCAATATTTGTTTTGGATAGTCTACAGAACAAATCACTGTTACACAATGACTTACAAATTACCCTAACCTGCCTAGTTACCCTAATTACCCCAGTGAAGCCTTTACATGTCACTTTAAGCTGTATAGAAGTGTCTTGAAAAATATCTAGTCTAATATTATTTACTGTCATCATGACAAAGAGGAAATAAATCAGTGATTAGAGATGAGTTATGAACACTGTTATGATCAGAAATGTGCTGGAGAAATCTGCTCTCTGATAAACAGAAATTGGGGGAAAATAAACAGAGAGCTGAATAATTCTGACCTCAGCTGTATATGAAGTGTAATGTTGGGTAATTGGTAGTGTTAGTGGGTAATTGTTAATATTACCTTCCTGTACATTTATTTGTACATTTCACTAAGCTTTATGGTACACCACGTTACACTTATGGTGGATCTGATTCCTCTGTGTGTGTGTGTGTGTGTGTGTGTGTGTATGTATGTATGTATGTATGTGTGTGTGTGTGTGTGTGTGTGTGTGTGTGTGTGTGTGTGTGTGTGTGTGTGTGTGTGTGTGTGTGTGTGTGTGCAGGTCTGCGTGGTGGTGTGTTGCGTCTGCCTCCTCCAGCCGGGTGTCCCGCTCCGCTCTTCAGTCTGATGCGCCGCTGCTGCTCCTCCAGTCCTAAAGAGCGGCCGGCGTTCAGTGAGATCCTGCAGACGCTGACAGACGCACACACACACCCTAAAGTCTAGAGGAGTGTGTGTGTGAGACGCTCAGGATGAGGTTAATCCGCCTTAATAAAGACACACTCCATCATTGACCCGTTCAGCCTCAGGGAAGCAGAAACACACTGACCTCTGCAGCGCCGACAATCCAGACCACGAGCAGCTGACCATGCTGGAGCTCTGTGTGTGTGTGTGTGTGTGTGTGTGTGTGTTTACTCAGAGGATGTCACATAAAGAGCAGCTCTGGTTATCTTCAGTCACGTGGTTGAGAAACTGATGATAGTGACTGACATACATAGCTATAGTACGATTAACACATGTGGACTAATTAATGAGTGTGTGTGTGTGTGTTTGTGTAATTGTGTGTGAGATAGTGTGTGTGTATGTGTGTGTGAGAGAGTGTGTGATCCTGCTGTTTCTCTGAGGTGCTCACAGGCTCTGTTACTGTAATAATTATGCAACACCTCCGACTGCAGACCTTTCTGAAGCCATGATGATGTGTGTGTGTGTGTGTGTTGATGATCAGCAGCTCTTAGTCAGTCCAGATCCCGCAGATGTACTCAGGTCAGGACACAGAATGAGGGCTCGTTCACACACAGAATGCGTCTTTTCTTCAGACAGCTCAGACTCAGAGCTCAGGAAGAAGTTCAGCATGAAGCGTGGGTGTGTCCAGACACACACTGACCAACACTCGCAACAGTTGCCCCGCCTCAGAGCTCTTCTGATTGGTCCTCTGCTGTGGAACTGACAGTGGTGAGCAGCGCTGTATTTAAAGTCAGTATTGAACCCCGGTGTCCTCTCCTTATGTGTGTATGTATACAGTAGCGGCTGTTAGAAGCGATGCGTCTGCACTTCATTATGATGAACACATTAATCTGTCCTCAAACTTTAATCAGACACCAAACCTTCCCCCTCACACTAGCTGCGCCCCAAATCGCACACTTGTGCACTATTCTACGCCATGGTATAGTATAGTAGTGTGAGTCGTGTGTTCACACTGGAAACTCCAGCAATAATCAGAGCACTTTAATAACCGGATGATGCTCTCGTTCAGCCGGTATAACGAAGTGTGGACACTTCACACACTCCACGACTGCAGGTTTGCTCACGGAAGCAATTAGCAGAAGAGGCGGAGCTATCGGGCGCACGTGTTGGATAACCAGGGCCGGAGCAAGCTGAACTGCCGCTCTAGGCAGAGGACGATCACGCCACCCTCAACCCCAATGTGAAAACCAAAGTGACCGGTTATGAAAATGAAGTGAGGTGTCGCGGACCTCTTTTCCAGCGCACTATAACTGAGGGTGCTGAGGGAGGGACGGAGGGAGGGAGGTGTCGCGGACACTGCGCTCTTTATTCTGCCGCCCTATGCGCGGAAATAACTGAGGACGCGCGGGTGCTGATGGAGGTGTCGCTGACACTGTCCTCTGTATTCTGTCATCTATGAGCGAATATATCTGAGGACGTGGGTGGTGAGGGAGGTGTCGCGGATGCCGCCCACTCTATACTGCCGCGCTAGGTGGCCGCCTAGGTCGCCTCTATGGACGCGCCGGCCCTGAGGATAACTTCATTTATTTTTAACTGTGAAAGCAAAATTCTCCTACGAGAGTGATTACAGCGCCTCCCGATGGTGAATGCGGTTATACTCACGGCAGGTATTATTTGGTAGTTTGGTCGTTTATTTCACTGATTTGGCGACCAGCAAACGTCATCAAAGAAACTATTTGAATTTCCACGTAGTAAAATAACATCAGTGTGCCATTCAGGACGACACTATATACATGCACTCTGCTGTTGAGTGCATAAGTGCATAGTGTGCCATTTGAGACGCAACTACTGACTTCATTTCTGGTCACATGGAATTCCCTTAGGGCGGAGCCATCAGTCATATAAGGTGGAGCTATCAATTCCTTAGGGCGGAGCTATCTGTTCTTTGGGGTAGACCTATCAGTCATATAGGGCAGAGCTATCAATGCTTTAGGGTGGAGCTATCAGTTCTTTAGGGTGGAGCTATTAATGGTTTAGTGTGGAGCTATCAGTTCTTTAGGGCGGAGCTATCAGTCGTATAGGGCAGAGCTATCAATGGTTTAGGGTGGAGCTATCAGTTCTTTAGGGTGGAGCTATCAGTCGTATAGGGCAGAGATATTAATGCTTTAGGGTGGAGCTATCAGTTCTTTAGGGCAGAGCTATCAGTCGTATGGGGCAAAGCTTTTAATGCTTTAGGGTGAAGCTATCAGTTCTTTAGGGCGGAGCTATCAGTTCTTTAGGGCGGAGCTATCAGTCGTATAGGGCAGAGCTATAAATGGTTTAGGGTGGAGCTATCAGTTCTTTAGGGCGGAGCTATCAGTCATATAGGGCAGAGCTATTAATGGTTTAGGGTGGAGCTATCAGTTCTTTAGGGCGGAGCTATCAGTCATATAGGGCAGAGCTATTAATGCTTTAGGGTGGAGCTATCAGTTCTTTAGGGCGGAGCTATCAGTCATATAGGGCAGAGCTATTAATGCTTTAGGGTGGAGCTATCAGTTCTTTAGGGCGGAGCTATCAGTCGTATGGGGCAAAGCTTTTAATGCTTTAGGGTGGAGCTATCAGTTCTTTAGGGCGGAGCTATCAGTTCTTTAGGGCGGAGCTATCAGTCGTATAGGGCAGAGATATTAATGCTTTAGGGTGGAGCTATCAGTTCTTTAGGGCGGAGCTATCAGTCGTATAGGGCAGAGCTATTAATGGTTTAGGGTGGAGCTATCAGTTCTTTAGGGCGGAGCTATCAGTCATATAGGGCAGAGCTATTAATGGTTTAGGGTGGAGCTATCAGTTCTTTAGGGCGGAGCTATCAGTCATATAGGGCAGAGCTATTAATGCTTTAGGGTGGAGCTATCAGTTCTTTAGGGCGGAGCTATCAGTCGTATGGGGCAAAGCTTTTAATGCTTTAGGGTGGAGCTATCAGTTCTTTAGGGCGGAGCTATCAGTTCTTTAGGGCGGAGCTATCAGTCGTATAGGGCAGAGATATTAATGCTTTAGGGTGGAGCTATCAGTTCTTTAGGGCGGAGCTATCAGTCGTATAGGGCAGAGCTATTAATGGTTTAGGGTGGAGCTATCAGTTCTTTAGGGCGGAGCTATCAGTCATATAGGGCAGAGCTATTAATGGTTTAGGGTGGAGCTATCAGTTCTTTAGGGCGGAGCTATCAGTCATATAGGGCAGAGCTATTAATGCTTTAGGGTGGAGCTATCAGTTCCTTAAAGCAGAGCTATCTGTTCTTTAGGGCGGAGCTATGAGTCATTAGGTGCGTTCAACTTGAACCATGGCTGCAGCCGGTGATCGGGGTTGGCTAATAACAACAGGCGGGGGCGGAGTTGTAACCGGAGCCGGACACTTCAGGGTTCAAAGTTGTGGCAGTCATGATGACCGATCACATGGCGTCATCATCATTTATTTATTTATAACAATAAAAGATTTACTGTACAAATAAAAGAAGGACTACAGTCTCTCTACAAACTATAGCTCATTAGTAAAGAATAAGGGGATTATGAATAATGATGAGTTATGAATAAGGGGACACGAGAGGGTAATTCAAACATAAAAACCAACAAAAATGTTTTCACATATTCAAACACGAGGTATCAGCCTAGAGTGTGATGTTTAAACTCCTATTCGTGCTTATTGCTTTGTATTTAATTTATTATAATAAACTGACAATCAAAACTTACATTTCACGACCACTTAAAGTTTGAATCTTCTTTTATTACTTGACATGCATGAAACCCCTGCTGCTGCGGTGCTGAGCGCTTCATCAGACGCCAGTGTAATGCTCATTCACTGTTCTCAGGCGTGTGTTTACACTGAAAGCAATAGTACAGATGTATACTGCAATGGAAAGACACATTCTGTGTGAACCGACCCTTATTCCCCTGCTGTCCATGTGTTATTGGAATATTTCCAAATGTTTACTGTTAAACATAACTGAATAATAATCTCTCATTTCTGTTCCCTTCGCCATGATGCAGTAGTTACTCTAGTAATTTAGCAGGATGCCAGTTTTCAGTTGATTTAAGAGGCTGAATTCAGTAGCCAATCAGAGGTGGTCTTGTTTGACTGCTTCATTACGCTGGGCTGGCCTGCACCGCTTCAGGATTGCAGTAGTGTTGAATATAAAGCAGAGATCAGAGATGAATGTTTGAGCAGCACATCACCTGCGCCGGTCCCTCATGTGTCAGTGGATTCTGAGCGTCTGTCAGTGTTTAATCCTGTATTAGTGGAGATTCTGCTCATGTTTCCAGCACTCTCAGGTCTCTGCATCTGCTGCTCTGAGCTCTGCTGGTTTCTCCTCAGGCTGATGTGTTTCTGCTGGTGTTCAGGGACGTCTGTTTGCTGGAGATTCTGGAGGATCTGGAACTGATGAGATCTGCTGTTTGAGGCATTACTGATGAAGGTTTGCTCCTGATTAATGATTCTATAATGCAGTTCTGCTCCTGCTGTACAAATGTTCTCCTCCACAGCTGAAAGTGCCTCCAGCATGAAGGACAGGACTCGCTCACTGCTTTACACACTGCGCTTCTGCTTCAGTTGAGGATTACTGTTTACAACACTGCTTTATACACGCGCTCAGATCGGCTTATTATTGTTTATTGGTGGTGTGTATGTGTGTGTGTGTGTGTGTGTGTGTGTGTGTGTGTAATCATTCCTCTGCTTTTTAAAGGTCACAGATGTAAAGCTGCTCATTATTAAACACACTTCTGTTTTTAACAACCTCCATCATC